CCAGAAGACAGAAATCTTCATACTCATCGCCCTGATGACGGAGGCAGTATGGCCTCTGAAACGCTGGTTAACATCGACCAGACTACACAGCGCAACAACCCAGAAGACAGAAGTCTTCATACTCACCGCTGTGAAAACCTCAAATCATTCATGGAAAGACCAGTTCTTGTTGAAGAATCTCAGGCTTAATAAGCCTGATTAATATCAGTTCAAGAAGAATAAAAATATTATAGCCTTCGAATAACAATGCCCCTTGTTGTGTTATGAAACTTTTAATGAGTGTCAGCACAACGTTAATTTGGAAATAAATTTATAAGTTGGGGAAATCAGGGAACACGTTCTTGTTTACGATAAAACTGTTACGTCATGTAAGAGAGTTTGGTTCGGGGTGTTTGATGGACGTGTTGTGCTTCAAAGCCTCACTGTTACTTTTATATCGCTTTTACATTCACGTCATGCTCGTAGGTTTGACAAACACATATCTGGGGACAAAGACATGGCCTCGTGAAAAGCAGATTTCAAGTATCCATGGTTTTCTCTTTACTATAGCAGAATTTGGTTTCACGTATCCGTGGATGTTAACTTGCGTACACACGGATCAAATCAGCGTCTTCCATACCAAGAGACAAACGTCTTCAGAGTTCGGGCTGTGATGACAAAGACTAATTTTCTGCCTTCGACATTATCACTGCTACACGTCTTCACAACACAATTTCTTGCTTTATATCTAACCTGCATGGTTTGGTCAGGATTGGAGCATTCTCGTTAGCCATGTTAATTCGGCTAACACTTTAAAAAACGACTAATAAGTAGTCTTATTTTCGCGGTTTAATGGCATTCCATACACTGAAACAAAACAAAATCAAGTAGGATTTGAGGTTTTCAAGGCGGTGGGTCATCAGGGCGATGATGTTGGAGGCAGCAAGGGCCTCTGAAACGTTCGTAAACGTCTACCAGACTGCACGGCGCTACGACCCAGAAGACAGCCATCTTTAAAGCACAATCAATTAGAAAAAAATGCATAATTAACCAGCTCAACAAGCCTATGTTAACCGCCTTGTTCAGGTTAACGTTCCCCGTCTGTTTACGCAGGCGCTGTTGGAAGAGACACGATTTAGTGTAGACTTGAGGTGAGGGGGAATGCATGACATTCCAAGTTAAGATGTCAGGAAACATCGACTGCAAACACGCTAGAGGCCAAGCGAGAAGTGCTGACACTTGCGCAAAGGACTGATTTTGGTAGTATGAGATGGACCCGTCCGAATCACGCGCTACAGGGGTGTCAGCTTCAGTTGGTTTGTACTGTCCACAGACCAGGAGAAAAGCCCTGCGGGGAGAAGTCATTTCTGGGGCGGTGCAAGGGGAATGTTTACTATCAAGTGGACTATAGGGCTGCTATTGGTGGGAAGTGTGACACGTCAGAGTTTTACACTACTGTACACAGACTGAAAACATCAAGCAGTTAAGAGTAGCGTGTAGTGAGTGCACCTCTAATGTGTTCTGCGGGTGTTGCGATAATATTTTAGATTAAATCACTGTGCCACTGTGAGGTAATCTTAAAGCTGTGCCCATTAGAACACATGAAAGCCTGTTATCTGTTGTTCGTTCAGTGGTTGTGGAACGTATGCTTTTAGGATGGGTCGTCACTCTCCGCGAAATCTTGCGCATGGTCGTATATCGAATTCCTAGCAGGGCTTTTCTCCTGGTCTGTGGACTGTAGCTCTAACTGTGTTTAGATCGGTGCGTCACCGCAGGTGAGGCTGTGCGACCCCCACTACTACTAAACTCCCCTCTCTCGGTTTACACGTCGCGCATTTAGGGGCCACCACTACTCGTGCTACCTCTACTTGCTTGTGTCCTGGTTTTTGACATAGCGCGCTGTAACACAGTTCTCACGATTTAAACTGCGTAATCCTACAGAGGTGTCGATTAAAGATATCTTACCTGAACAGCTGACTTAGGTCAGGGGCTCACTTCGACGTCACTGTGACGCGTGTGTTCAAGCGGATGGAGGGCAATTCGAGCATCTGTTGTGATCATGTTGAATCAGTCTGTATACTAATTGCAGTTTCCAAATGATGAACAGTGTAGTCATGGACAGTTGTTATCCGAACATCCCCTGTCTCATTTTGTGAGAGAAGTCAGTGTGTATGAACTTCCTACTTGCTAATGTAAACTGGAGATTTGTTGAAATATAACCTAGTAATTTATGATGATGACGTCACTATGCGTTTCTTCCAGGTTCCTGAATGCGGGGTTTATTCTAGCCATTACATTAGCAAATGTTGAGAGGTGAGAACTCGATCCTTTGATCTTCCGGATACGTAGCAGGAATTTTTCCACGTTCCATCACACATATGTTCTGTTTAGACGATCTAGGACCTATTTTCTCAGCCGACCAGTTTTCTGAACTCTGATCTTTCGTTGTTAAGTCTTTGTATTACAGAATTATTCGGTCTTCAGTGGTGACAAGATCGTCTGGAGGGCGCAAAACTATAATGAATTTAATATTTTAAGATGGTAAAGTGTGTTATTAAAAATGGAATAAAAATCTGAAAAAGAACATCGTTTGATATCTGGTAAAAATCTAATAAAAAATGCACGCTAGCATAATGTATGAAAATTGTATTTGAATTATTTATCGTTTTGAAGCTTTATATAATTATATACACCTGAGGATGGTTCTTTTAGGAACTGAAACATGTCGTGAAACATGAAAAATGATGGTCTAATGTAAATCGAATATTTCGATAAAGAACATCATTTAATATTTTAAATATTTTAAATATTTTAAATGTTAATTATTGTAATATTTTAATATTTAATAAGAATTTATTGTGATTAGACGGACAAGATTTAATATATACTTAATATTTTAAATAAAAATTTTAGTTTGTAAATATACATTCATAGATTTGTAGAACTTTAATTAATAAATAATAATCTCTCATTTCAATTATTACCCTATTTATCGAAATTACAATCGGTCTTACTGTGTTTCAGATGTAATTTTATACCGCGATGATTTGACCTTCAGGGCTACGTTTGTAAAATCTTAAGTATAAAGTCATGTCGGTATAAAAGAACTGGCGTGTCTGATGACCACCAAACATCCTCCTCGCTGTCACAATCCTTTGCAACAGAGATTTCCGCCGTGCAGAAATACAGGACTAAGAATTACGTGAAGTGATTCCTGGAAATGAGCGAGCCCGGGAAATCTAGGAAAACGCTCGAAGATGAAAGTATTTCTCATAGTCTAATGCTTCTAAACATAACAATAATACTGATATATTTATGTTAGACGGTTTCTGCATAACCTCCGCGGATGATGCAACGCCATTAAATAACTTACCAGTCAATTAATCATTAAGGTTGTAGAACATTTCACAATTTTGTTGGCCGTCTGGGTTGCAGCGCCGTGTAGTCTGGTAGAAGTTTACCGACGTTTCGGAGGTCTCTGCTGTCTCCATCATCAGGGCTATAAGTCATCGATGAGTAATCTTCTATCAGACTACACGGCGCTACAACCCAGAAGACAGCCATCTTTGGACGCACCACCGTCAAAACCTCAAATCCTGTTTCACAATTTTAATGGTGTAGTGGTCAAGGTAGCGATGTTTTTTCGTGGTCAAAACGACTTTGATGTGTTGCACATTGAGATTAAAACGACGAAATCAGTACTTCACTAGAGGCTGCACCATCGTGATTTATTTCTTTAAGGATAATCTAAGAGAGAACGCAGACTTGTGGGATAAGAAATCTCTTTCCACTGAAATGAAACGAGACATGTGAGATTCGAGGTTATCACGGCCTTGAAGACGTCCATTTTGGTCTTATGTGTTGTAACTCCATGTGGACTTATAGGCAGACATCAGCGTTTCCCAGGAACGTACGTCCTCCATCTTCGAAGCTGAAGTTGAATGCAATATGTTCTTCCGAAATGTTGGTACCTGCCCGAAACTCCACACAGCGTTAAAAACCCAGAAAACCAACATAAATAAGTATTTCTTGCTTTTTGCTTCGCTCAAATTTCGGGATGGAATAAAAAAATCATTCGTATTTTCAATAGAATTTGAATGTAAATATATGTTATGTGTTTCCCTGAGCAGTATTTGTCGGAGAAATTTTTTTACTAGTGCGGTTAATTTTCGTTACAGTGGCCGACCTGTAATTGTACCCACATCTGAGATATTTCAGTTCATTTCACATCATAATAAGTGACGTATTGTATTTTCGTGAGGTTTTGAAACAAAAACATTCTGTTGCATGCTTTTGTCATAAGTTAAATTAAGTCAAGGAGCTTGTTGTATCTCAGATCATAGACTCATTGTATCTTTGAAAATACGCGCTGCTGCGTTCACATGTTTTTGCGAGTGAAGTAGCAAGTCCCGTCCCGTCACATACTACGTGATTCATATCGGCCACAAAAACTGTTTGTATTGGCCTGCATTGAGTGCCTCCCCTCCCGACGATCTCGTGGTTTAGAGGAGCGGAGGAGGGGGGGCAGTGTTGTGGTTTCCACGCTGCCGTACTTCCAGTTTGCGCCAATGTAGCGTGCGGGACAGAAGTGGAGCTAGTTGTGGATCTGCAGTCGCCGTACCCAGCAAAAAGGTACGATCGAGTTCTTTGTTACAGTTGTCAGAGATTGTCAACACCGTTGTTACTCCAACAAATGTTTCCGTTGTCTATGACTATTAGTGAGATCATATCAGGTCTTACGCGTGTTGAGCCCGTGTTAAGGGGGGGTTTACGCGTAGCCTTTAGTTCCGAAATGTGTGATTCACTGTGAGTGTTTGACAAAATTTGATTAGAGAATCAGGATGCGTTACGAGAGCGCCGATATTTATGTGCGCGTCATAGCTTTTTTGTACGTCTTTCGTGATTACAATTGCAAAACATGTCCCCACGCTAGGAACATGACAGCGTCTGTGTTTTGACATATAATAATGACTCCTGTTCACTGATTAGTTCGAAATGGAAATCATTTTGTTCCTCGGTAAATTTGTTGGCTGGACTAAGTTGTAAAACTACCGCTTTTGAAGAATACCTAAACACTTTTTAACATGTTTTAATACGTGTTGGATGGGTCTGGCTAGTTCTTTGCCAGATCAGTGGAGTTGGAGTAACATGAAAGAAATGTTTTACTATATGACACAACAGTGGAATATTGTTGTTATTGTCATTGATGTTGCTATTACTGTTATTATTATTGTTGTTATTATTATTATACATTAGTGTGATTGTGCTCTTGTTGGAGAGATTTAATAGTACTGCATTTCTGCACGTCCAGACTTGTAGAACAGGATTCGACACTGACTGTGTTTGAAACCGTTTGTCATAGATTTTGTGGTTTGTAATGACACCATTTATATTGTGTAGGCCTACATAAATCGTCTTATATTCGATAATCGATTATTGACGTTGCTTACATCAATATACAGAGGCCTATACGAAACGTGTGTTTTCTGTACTCTGTCCACTCACCTACTTCTTGCCATATTTTATTTTTAATGGTATATGTGTAGAATATTTGTTTAAATGCTAAAATATAATTGATTTCTTGATCAGTCTAGATACGACTCTGAAATACTGTTTTTGCTAGTCATGTAACAAAAATGTTTAATATCTGCCCGTCACATAACCTATATTGCCTTTTCATCATTAGTCTTGTTAATTCCTTGTGTTGCCGTAGGTATGTTCTGAGTTTGTTTGTTTGTTCGTTCGTTTGCTTTTTGCACTGCGTTTAGTTTCGTAGGAGATTTTACTGTCACTGTGTCTGTGTTGTGTTACATGCGGAAGTTTCGATTAAATTTGGTGTCGGGGAATTTTTCTTTAAACTTGTTGAAATTTCTAGATCTGTACTGGTCAGTTAATTTGCAAAGATTGTGGAAAATGAATGAGATAAGCGTGTTAGGAGATTTATTAAAACAAAAAAATTATATAGAGAGGAACAATTGGTTAATAAAATATAACAAGAGTTATAAGGAATTTGTATGGGGTTGTTTGGAAAAAATCAGGCGAGAACAATAAAAATATATTTGAGGAAAGTAAGTAAATGGTGTGTTTTATAAGGAGAGACAGCATGTGGTAACAAGTGTGAGAGTGAAATTACCACAGGTGTTCTACACTGAATTGAATAGTAACTGGAAGAAGGAAGTATGTATTTGGAGACTAACAAGTGTTATATCTCAGTAAATTTTAAGATAAATTTAAAAGATTAGTTAAGAAATATTAGGTGGAAAGAGCCACAAATTAGGGGGTACCAAAGATGAGAGAATGGTCTGTAAGTGGAAATATAAATGGAAAAGAGAGTGTGAAAAGGCAAGGCTTAAAAATAGGCAGACGTAGGATGATGACACTAGGGAGTTATGTCCGATACTGAAAACTGTAAATACCAATAGACTAAAAAAAAGTCAATTTCATTATCATTGTCATTATACTGGCCAATTACGGATTTCTTATATTTTGTGTGTCGAATAGAATGCTTCGGACATCTCCAGACTAATAAAATTAATATTTTATGTCTGAGGATATGATTCACGTGCTATGAGTAGTTGGAGATCGTTTGAGACTCTTTGTTTCATCATCCTCCCCCCCCCCCTCGCTTTAAATCGTACAAAAATCTTACAATAGAAGAATCCACAAAACAAAAAACACATTTCATGGGGGTAATGGAAATGAAAATAAATGTTACATTGTAGATTAAATTATCTGTTTATTTGTTTTGACACATCCGTTCTCACACCCACTTCAGCAGTTCGCTCACTAACACGCGCCTTTTACCATTGTAAAACCCAGTGGTAACTACAGCAGCCGTCACCAAGTTGTATGCTTCAAGGCCACGGAATGACTTCCCACAGACACACACACGCTTACGGGGCGCTCCAAGTCATCAGTACAGCTGTACTAGCTTTGCTGTGACCTTGAGCAAGAACTTTGGTGACGGCTGTTGTATTTATGATCACCTGGTTTGGTAATTTTTGCCTGTAGTTGGCTCACAGAATGTACTCAAGTGTTAGGTATGAATTTTGGTAGTAGACAGCGTTTATTTTCTAAAAGGGGTTAATCAGTTGATCTTTGTAACGGAGACGTGTTGTTGTTTTATTTGCTTAAATTTGAAATACTTAGACGAGCTTTAAAGTTTAAATGTTTAGACGAACTTCGGTTTCGTAGAGTTAGCAATGACACGTTCAGTGCTTGAAGGAGTTTGAGCGCTTTTGATGTTATGAACGTCTGTCTCAGTGCTGTAACCCTACTGGAAGTGGAGGGGGAGTGAAAGTGACCTATTTAATTGTCCTGCAGTGGAGTGCTCGCAGGGAATGAGCTCTGCCAGTTCGAGGCTACCACCGGATGCAATATAGGCCTGGCCTGTGTTATTACAGGCTCTATATTTGTTCTCTTACACACCATCATACCGCTCTTATCAGTCTTGGAAAATTCCTGCCTTCACTTTCTGTTTCCCCTCCTATTCCTCTCTTGTCTTTCCAGTTTTATCGATATTATTATTAATTCTTTACTGCTTTATTCTTGCTTGTATAGTCTTTTTGTCGATTTTTATCTTTCGTGTTTCATATTTATATTTTATCCATCTTCCAGTTTGTAATTTTGTATAGTCTTTTTGTCGATTTTTATCGTTCGTATTTCATATTTATATTTTATCCTTCCAGTTTGTAATGTTTTGATTCTACCTTTTCGCCTTCCGTATTTGTCAATATATGGTCGTGTCAACTGAAGTCTTATTCCGATATGGTAATAGTGAATGTTCCCGTCTTCGCAGGTTTACTTCAACACTTTTACCATAGTCTTCCATTTTAATTTCGTACCAGTAATGGACGTGGGACGTAATTAGGATCGCCACATTCGGTACCAGGCGGTAACGAAGTCAGTAAAATTATATCCGAGCAAATACGTACCGTTATCTTCCTGGAGCTACGTCTGTGAAGATTCTGGAGTAGCATGGAGTGTTGAGACGTGTAATAACATCGCCGTGGTATGTTCTGTAAGGACTTTGGAACTGTTTGTATGTCTTCTCGGAAAGGGAACCTACCATTACGTGGCTGAAACGAACAAACTCAGTTAACATAACACAGATCAGCCAACCTAACCCAAGAAAAGCATCCAGAAATAATATAATCTAACCCAGTGGTATTCAACTTTTTTTGTTCGCGTACCCCCAGATATAATTTCTCTTTAACTTTGTACCCCCAAAGTTGTTGGTGTATAATTCAAGTTATACATAGTATATAATCTACATCTAAAGTAAATTAAATAAATTACATTACTGATTATTAAGTGTTTATCATTTTTTTTTTAAATTTCACGCACCCCCTAAGATGTCTTCGCGTACCCCAGGTTGAATACCACTGATCTAACCCAATATCAAGAAGACTTGAACATTTGTTAGTGTTATGTAGGTAGTATGATACAAAACACTTCTACCTTACAATTATTTTAGTACCGTCTCCAAGAATACGCGCCCTAGTATCCTACTCAGTTCAAATCCTCAAAGCCTAATTCCGTAGATCCTCTTTAATCCTATTTTCCTATCTTCGTTTCGTTGTTAAGTGATGTTTTCTCTTTAAAATTGCCTAGCCAGTGGGATACAATTCCAGAACTATATCAGTAATGAAATTCCTCGTGTACTCTCGTCTTCCACTTAATTCGTTTGTCTTTTGGCCATATATTTTCCTTTATACTTTTTTTGTATAGTATTTAATTGTGTAACTGCACAGAAGCCAATGTTTTATTCGTGAACAGAATTAATTGAACTAACGCCACGCGTCGTTTGCATTACCTTGAATATATAAATATAATTTCTGAAATATGTTCTTGTTACCTGCAGTTAGATACTGTATTTATTGTATCTCGTTAAATGTTTATCATATAAAAGCAACAAACAATATGTTATTTTACGTGCAGTCTTTCGTTCTAATTCTTTTCGCTAAGAGTACTGTTTGTGTTAAACAAAATTCAATTCACTTGACAACGTTTAGCGTCGATTCCCAGTCTCAACTAACTAACTAAATCAAGGATATTCCTTCTTGAGAAGCTGATAGTATGATTAACTAGTCAAGAAATTGCCGGCTTTTATGGAACGCGAAGGTTCATTGTCATGTTGATAAGAACCAGCCACAGGCCCCTCTCCTAGGCCAAATGAATCCAATCCATACACTCAAAACCTATTTCCTTAAGATGCACATTAATATTATCCTCTCATCTATGCCTAGTTCTTCCGAGTGGCGTCTTCACTTCAGGGTTTCCAACCAAAATTTTGGATGTCATATATTTTATTCAGCGATCTGTTTTCAAACAGCCCCGATCTGTGTTCTCGTAATTTAAGAGACCAGTTTTCATGACGATGCAAAACATCAGGTGAAATTGTACTTTTGTATATTTTAATCTTTACGTTTATTAAATAGACGAAAAAGAATTCTCTCCCCAGCAAAGGTACACGCTCAGTGTTTTTAGCAAAGAACACGCACAAATTGGAGATATTGTCCAAAGTTTGTGTGTTGTATCACTTTTGATGGCCTAGAGCAGAGTTGGGCAACCTTTCTACACTCGCGGCACACCAAATATTGTCGAAGAGTCATGGCGGCACACCAACCCCA